CGCACGAGTGGCATATCGTGCAAAAATCCACGAATAACTGAGATCGTGCGCCGGCGCAGCGTCACGTGGTCGGACGTGAGTCGTACGTGCGTCGTTACGTTTTATGGACGACATGGGCTCGGCTAATTGACCGTTGTTTGCATATTTCTACGGCTTACAGAAGTTTCCAGTAAAAATATGTGGATTTTATCTGAGATCTCAAATACTTAAGTATTATAATACACTTACATATTAGGTAAATTGATATAGGTTTGCGTTTAAGTTTTTAGATTGCTGTGTAGGTTATGATTGCGAATATATCGTTTTTTATAGTTTTAAAACTATTCCTTTATTTTTGTGTGCCAGGTCAGCAAAATGTTATTAACTCCACTTGCGTGTCATTCCAACACCGCAACTGAGTCTAGATTAAATCAAAATCTATTATAATGTCATAAGTAAATCCTACCAATATTCTAATCGCGATAATTCATAAATATCAATGTATGAATAGAGGTTTGTTGCTTTCAAGTAAAAAATTAACGAATAATTTTGAATGAAATTATAAAGAGATAGATAGTCTGGAATAACACAGGGCACCTATTAAACCCTGCGGGCAAAGCCGACGGCAGAAGCTATAGTAAAGCTATAAATAAATAACTTTATTATCCATAACTCATACCTGTAACTGAGTAATAAACACAACAACTATTGTACATGTATTTTTTCCGATACGTAATAATTCTACTAAATCGATTCGTGATTCGGCGCACGCGCATCGTGATGCGCAGGAGTTGATCCCTGTGAAAATTATCCCCTCTCTATGTGGGAATTGTTAAGGAAATGAGCTAAGGATTTGAAAAGTAATATTGCAGAAGTTTAAAGATATTTGCTTCCGTACTAATATTATAGTCTTTTGCATATACAGCTTAGCCTTTTTTGTGAGGAGAAAATCATGAAATTACATCTCCCGCCCTGTATGGGGTGAGAGGGAGTGTCGGACTCTTACTGACTAAAAACACCTTGTTCCTTCTCCTGCTTTAGGCCGAGGCCGCGGTGCCTCATTGCGCTTACCCCTCAACCCCGGCTGTTTACAGCTAAGCTACTGATTCGATTTTGACCAAATTGGTACTAAAAATGTTGGTGTAAAAATGTTGGTGTAGTTTGCTTTTCAACTTCTACTAGGTATTTTCACATATTTCTTATTCGATTTGTAAGTCGTTTTAATAATAAAAAGACTTACAAATCGATAGTTACCCGTAGTGGGCCTTCTTCACTTTCCTCTTTTGTGTCGATAATGCGTTTTAGCCATTTTTGTTATGCCTGGATGTTTCCAATGAATTTCTGCAATACTGCGTTCATTACAAAGAAGCGTATAGGAATTCAATTCCGGTGAAACTATTATTGTACCATCTTTCTATTACGCTACATTAGGTAGAGGCGTAAACTTAGAATCCTGCCTATTGGATAAAATTATCTTCGCCTATCTCGCGAGATCTTTATTTCTATATTGCTACTCCCGTACTGTTTCACTTGATGTTTTATCGTCTTCTCGTCTTCGATAAATAGGCTATCTCTAAAAACAACATTTCTATAGAAAATAATATATTTACCTATTTTTATTAAAAACTCGAAAGTTTAAAGTTTGGAAGAATGCTTGTTACTGTTACACGTAAACTTGTTAAATAATACATTTGAATAAAATCTAGTACTTTTAGATAAATCTAGTCTTGGTACTTTTTACTAATGCAATTGAAAATATACGGTTTGTGTATGACGGATCAAAAGAATTTTAACTTACTGAATAAGAAGTGACATTTAATTTTATTTTATTGTTTATAGACTCGTTGAGCCCACAGTCACATTTATGCTAGAAATATATATAAATAAATGAAATAATAAAAATAATCTACCAAGCTGACATAGCAACAATGCTAATTAACAAAGATATTTAATGACTAAAACAGTTAACTTCGGAGAATTTATGAGTGGCGGTCAAATGTCAGGTCGTCATACGAATACAGTTAAAGTGAACAACATTCCTTAATTTCCACGAAGTAATAATAGTAGAGAGTGATATTAAGGTACGCAGTCATCAAATGTAACTATTAAGTATTTCGCTAAAGTAATTTGTTCGTGTGATGTAATGCCGAAATTACACTCATATGCGAGTTCACATCGTGGGTCAGATGTCACCGAATTGTGAACGAAGCTCGCATTAATATTGTGCGTTGTTTCTACTATTTATTTTTTCTTATACAACCTTGTAATTGCGTCTGATGGGTGGGTAGATATATCGGCATGGTGTTAGATAATGAAAAAGTATTAGACATGTATTTTTTATTTTTTGCATAAAATTCATCATATTATTCTATATTAAATAAAAAAAATAGTGGGGCACTGATTAGTACCTATGACAAATATTTAATGGTGATGTATTCCATAAGAAATTAAATTATCCTGCTGTCAGATGTTTTAAATCCATAAAAAATATAACCATATTCCTCTTTAAAAAAGACACACAGGTGAACAACTACCAACCATAACTGTATTTAGAAAGAAAATTTATTTTCAGTAAACTTATTTTGTTAAAACTGATATTTTTTTAATCTAAAGTCCTATATACCTTGGCCTACCCAAAGATCGAACCAGAGAGAAGTCCAAGTCCTATCACACGTGCAGCCACCAGCCAATAAACAAACAAGTCTGTCAACTTTTTTTATTTCTCTTATCAATAAGAAGAAAGTTATTTTTAAAATCGTTTTGGGATAGGCTTTGAATATATACTGATGTTCACAGAGACGGATTTTGAATTTGATTTATTTGATTAAAGCGTCGTTTGAATTATGAGAAAGATACCAGTTTCTGTCACCAAATTTATTGATCTAATCATTAGTTAAGAGTGTTTAGTAGTTATATTGACAAACAAAACCTCTCGCATCGTTTTCCATTTTTCATCAGTAATCTGCAGAAACATTTATTGGTTTATTAAATAAGGAAATGTTGATAAATTTATTGGTGAAATTGTATGTTATTTCAGTGTTATTGACAATGTTCAAAGTTTTCTGCAAATAACATGTCCGGCTAAGATGTCCGGTTCCTGAGTTACGTGAGGTCGGTGTGCGTAACATAATTTGCTTACCATATCTTTAACTATTTCTTTTTTACCACAGTTCGTTTCATTGGCTTTCCCCTGGCCTTTTCCCAGGTTTCCAGAGTTATAATAATCTCCATTCTATCTAAACGGCAATCACAAAACTTTTCCTAATTACTAGCTTTACCAAATTCTTAATATAGGTATCTCCATTATAGTTAATTTCCTTTCAAAACTGGTCAAGTAATACCTCAGGAGTAATAGCGCTAATTAAGATGAAATCTATCTTGAATCTAGATTTGGAGTCAGATCTAATCATGATCTAGAAGTTTGTAAGTGATCCGTTGAAAATATGTGTAGGTGTTAGATTACACTTCGTTAATATTTTGTGCAAGTCTATTATTGACACTAACACTAGATCTATATGTGATCTATATAAAATAAACATTTTTGTATTGTTGATGTGCCTTAAAAAATATATGAAAAAAAATCGCATAGGTATTCAGTAAAAAGTGAGCGAACGGGAGCTAATAATGACAACGACGAAGTTGATTATGATGATGAAGATGATAATTGCTTAGCGATACCAATATTAACAGTCAATGCTAGAGTAAACACAAAACCTGTCAATATTCGACCATATTAGTGGAAAGAAGTAGAACAAATGATCAGACCTACAATAAACCAACTCAACATCTACGCTATAAAGTCTAAAATCTATCAACAAAACACACCGCAGCTCAAACATATACAGACAGAATTTCTCGCAAAACGTCATAATTACGCCACCGCCATTTCCCATGAAGCTAAGGTCAGTGTCCACGACAAGCTGTATATCTTACAAATATTGTATCTCACGCAAATCTATCATAAATCATAATATTATCAGCCGTTGCTGCCATTTTAACTGCTTTCTATTCAAATGCACATACATAAGTGGTACAAAGAAAGTTTAGAAGAAACACGTTTTCACTTTTCATACGTATAAGTTATATCATCACATGTAATGATGTGATTTGTACGGTTGCGTCACGTTCACCTTGAGTCAAGAACTGGTTTTCTGAATTATTTGTGTATTTTTTTTTGTGGATGCATGTGTTTAGATTGCCACTTTAATCGTTGGATATAAAAACGTTTATCAATTTCAACGTACTACAATGAAATGTTTTTTAATTATTTATGACACGGTATTTGTTTAATTTCTCAACTAATCCAAGCTAATTGATTTATAGAACTAATACAATTAAGAACTCATTACTTCACACATACTTCTTCTATACATCATCCAGATTTTAAATACTGTACATATATCCAAATCAATTTCATGGAACATACTAAGTAACATTCACAAGCTAAAAATGAGGACTGTATTAAAAGAACTAGGTTATCCATAAACAAACAAGCCTTCTTTAAATACACGCTGCATCATAACGCAAACATGTCCCACCTCTATTCAGGGAACACGGCCTAGTCACATCACTATTTAGTGAGTCTATGACTAAAGACTGAGTAATAGTGTTGAATATAGGCGAGTGGCGACAGGCGCGCTGGTGACTAGCCACTAATTATAACTAGTTAGTAGGAAATGATCAACTAGATACAGATATCTATATCGAGTGAAAAGTGATCGGTTTATCGATAATATTGCCTATTAAGAGATGTTACTTACAATCTGATTTATTTCCTTTTCATTTTATTAGTAGATTAATGGACGTAGACAGTTTTATTGTGGAGTTAATTACTTAGTTTATCCACTAAAGATGGGACACGTGAATCAGCCTTTTGTAAATCAGTTATTCCTTAATCGATTTATCAATTTTGTTCAATTAGTACACGTTAAAAAGTATTTTATAATTTGGGTCAAGATTTTCAAGTCACATTGTAAATAGTAGTCAACAATAATTAATCTCTTCTCTACCTTCTCTTACAGCGCTGGCCGCAGAAGGCGGAACCCATTGGCGTTATACACAGAAGATGATGGTCACGACCTGAGTGACCTTGGCATTGGCACCTCCAGCACCAAGAGCAGTCTCAGCGAGGATTGCGACACACATAGCCTTGCTGTAAGTACCCTCATCATATTTATGTTAATATGGAAATTCTTGGGTTAATGATTGTTAGTATTACTGAAGGTCAATGATAAATACAGCGATAAACAACAAAAACTGGTTAGCTTTGAAACAAGTGCATATCGATAAACTGTAATCATATTCTTCCATGTTTGTTTTATATCATGGTTAATAGTAACATTATCAATTTTCAGAGTGACGGTATCGACCTGGATAAAAATCATTCAGATGTCGACAATCTGTCGAACTGCGACACAAACCGCAAGCTTGGCTCCAGCGCCAACGAATACGACACCTGCACGACTACCACCATCAGCTCCCCAGAACCCGAGGAGTACACATACGAGGGAGCTATCGAAGGCTACAAGTCTAGAATCATCTCACAAACTAACAGCACTATCGTCAAAACAGTTGTAAATAACAACTTCAAAGAAAAATCACCAGAGAAAAATGGTGACCTTAACAGAATCAGGACGAATGTCAGCAACAAAATCGAAGAAAAACTGTCCTCCTTCCAGCAAGAGAGAGCCAACGACGCAAAGAACAACAACCAGAAGAAAGATTTACCCAAAGTAGACATACACAAAAGGAGGGAACAGTTCGAGAGAGAGAACTCTCAAGAGCCACAAGCAAATAAACCCAAGTTGCCCGATATTGCGAACAAAAAATCTATCAAAGAAAGACTGTCTAGTTTAGAAAAGTTCACAGAGGACTCGCACATTCAAAAGTCTACAAGTGACCTAACCAAGTTACCTACAGAAGTAAAACCACTGAAAGAACGACTGTCTTCGCTTGAAAAAGTTAAGTCTACTGAACCAGAAAAAGTAAAGAGGTTGTCGAACGGAGATCTCAGCAATACGCGATCCTTGAAGGAGCGCCTTTCCAGTCTGAAGTCACAGACCTCTGAAGAGGAAACGAAGGCCACAAAAACTGAAGTTAAGGAAGTATCCATGAGCCTGAAAGAGCGGTTGTCTTGTCTTGATGCGGCCAAAAATAAGGAGATTCCAAAAATATCTGTCGAAGAAGAATTGGCACACAATAAAGATATGGAAATCAAAGTGGAGGAACCAAAAGAAACATTGATGGAGAGCTCCCTTAAATCGAGCCTGTCTGGCATCGAAAGTCAAATGCAAAGCTTCTGTCGCTCTCTGGACAGTTTGGACATTAATGGACAAACTTCTCCGAATTCATTTGATAGAGTACAAAGCTTGGAAGACTTCGATTGCGCTGAAATGCAAAACAACACAGTTCCAAGCGACATCGAGACGGAAGACAGTGGCATCCACACCGCTAGGGATTCCTGCGCCCCTGCAGATGATATAGCTGACCTCACACAAGTGGCGTCACCTGTTGGAGAGCCTATGATTGAGGCATCAGAGTATGAGTCCTCGAATGAAGACGGAACAGCCATGGACGCAAAGATCGAAGAAATGGACAAGATGCCAGAGCCTATTCAGCTAATGCAAGACATCATAGTCGAAGAAACTGAAGAGCAAGACGCCAAAACGGATGACGACAGCGCCAGCAACTACCTGCAGGCTGTGTCTCAGCCCGAGGAGCTGAGTGTGACTGAGGTCACTGAGATACAACTTGACAAAGACGACGAAGACACACTTAAAAGTTTGGAAAACCAGGACACCAGTGTAAGTTTGAATGAGCCTGTCTCCACCGGGTCGGAAAGCGACACAGTGGTTTTCGAGGGGAAAATGACAATACATCTTAATCTGAATGAAATATGCAACAATATGAGCGGCGGTGCCGGGACTACTAACAATGTTAGCTCTACTAACAGCATGCCAATGGTAACTGTCTCTAATATCACAACTATTACTAACATTTCACCTAAGAACTCAGTTAAAGCGCTAAAAAGTAACGATATACCCGATTTATCTTACACATCAGAGTGTTCACTTGTCAAACTAGATAATTCACCTAATCATAATACTGTAAGCATTAAAGATATACATGAACCCCGTGACGTTGCAGCTGCCCGAGGCGAAGTATCGGTAAGTACCTCGCAGGACGAGAATCCGTTCTGGGAGAAGCGGACTAAGCGTAGGATAGAACCGAATAGGAGAAAAACTATATTATTTATTAACAATAAGATAAAAACACAAACTACGAGTAGGCCTGTAGCTAACGATGAGGTTTAGTTCACAATAACTGTCGCGTCATCATCATGCCATCCTACTAACGTGCGCATGTGATCGATAGTTCATTTCTTATCAATTGATATACTGACGACGTAGGTGTTTACTGTTCGGACTCTTAAATATTGCATAATATGTAAATGCTAGTGGAAATAATAATACAACCCCAAATTGTTATAAATTAGTCTCGAATCTTGTTGGGTTGGACTAAGTAATTTTAGTAATGACACAAAGTGATCAATTTTTAATTTTAAAGTAAAGGCGTGTTCACTTGTATTTGGCGCGCTAGTGTTTTGTCGCAGTGCCCATCTACCACAGAGATATGGATGTTAAACGGAGCCTGTCGTACCAAAAATACATTTCCATACCATTCTCATGTATTGCTTCGCAAGTCTAGATGAGAATCACCATGGAACCTATAGCAAACGATCAATTGATCTCACCCACTCAGTCATCACTAATATCACCTGTGTTTATAGCCCCATTTAATAATACTCTAAAATAAAAAATAGATATTTTATTTTTAACATTCACCACCGTGCTAAAACCAAAGAATTCCGTCGTATCAAGGATTCCCGCACACGCGAGACGTATCACGCCACACCATAATTGTGTCATCAGATACCAGTCCAGTCGCACATTGTAGGCAAGGATTAAATAATTAATTTTATTAACAATCTTTATAGTTGGATATATTTTTAGTAATTATTAAAGTGCATGTTACGAATAGTCTTCAATGTGCGATCGATGTGAAACGGTACTAAAGGCGTCGACAGATTAGTTGTCGGAGGGGAAGCTGTTCGGGTAGTCGGGCCTTTAGACTTACAGGGTCATGTACGTAGTGTCACAGCGTTGTATAGACACCGTATTTATATACATGTAGCGTAGTGCCCCAGTATTTATTCATTTAATTAACGTGATATGTAAAATTATATCAGAATACATGTTGCATAGTTATTTGTATGAGTTTTATTTATGTATAGATATAGTTATCATCATTTATCCTTAAACATTTTTAAAGGAACCTATTTACCTATATGTTTTTTAAACTTCACTGAAGTCTTAATAATTATAAACAAATTGTGTCAATCTCTCAATTGCGTAAAAGCGCAAAAAAATGCTATCAAACTTTTGTTTGCCTTTTTACAATTTAAACAGGCACACATAAGCTGCAAACCCTATTATAATTATCCAAACATCTCCAATATTATATCAATAAAGTATACCATTATCAGTATTGTATGTAATATTATAAATAACAATATAATTATCATTATTTATCTCACGCAATCATGGTATAATATTATGTATGAAATCAGTACAATGTTATCTACTGGCTTATCTTAGACAAACATTTTATCTGTTCCTAAATCAAGACAGTATGATAAGTGGTCTCTGTGAGAGTAGGCGAGCTAATAGTTTCAATGTATATGCGAAAGGTGGCGGGAATAAAAAGGTAAGACAACCTTCAAATGCTCTGGGTCTCGCTTCTTTTTCATTTGCATCTAACCAAAGCAGCTTATGCATGCATCTTTTGCACGATCCCTTGTTGAACCGTATTTTTTTCTTACGTTTTTTGTGTTTAAATTGTCAAACAGATTAAGCTTCTATTCCAAATAGTTCAGTGTTGATTTTTAATTGTTTTTCTGTTACTTTCTAATGTTGAAACGATTTTTTTTCTCTAAAAATGTGTTGTCGTTTGTTTTTCAATTGAAATTAGCTTTCTTTTTTAAAATGAAATCTGTATTAATTGTGTTAATTTTCTTTTGAATGTGATGTAGAAGCACGGAACGGCAATTATTTTACACTTTTTAAATGATACAATAATTTCCAAGCAAATATACTTGCACAGAACACTATGCTTCTACAATGCAACGTTTTTAATAATCTTAGTGTTGTTCTCAACGTTGGATCTCCTATTAATCATGTGTCCATCTCCAGGTCATTGATGCTTTAGAGCTGGCGTTCAAAGAACTTGATTCAGAAGACAGCGCTGCTTTGGACGACACTACAGAACTGCAAAAGACGGACGACTTCATAGATAAGAAGATAGATGTGACGCCACTGTACGAGAATATGGATATCTTCTATCAGAATTCTTCGGAGTTCTCTCCAGAGAGTGCGTTCCCTCTGGACATGCCAACCAATGTGCTGGAGCCTCCGAAGGAGAAGCCTCCTCCACCACCTACTGAGGATGGACCTGAAGATGAATTGCTGGGAAATGTGAGTAGATTTATTTATTTGTTTCTAAAGACGTAATCTGTTTACATAGCTAATAATGCTAAGCCACAAGTGACTGTTTAGTGTTATATAATACTTGATTAATCTTAAAGTTCTAAGAGGAATTCTTAATTTATAGTAGTTATGTACCTAACTAAAGTCTACACACGTGGTAAAATAGCAATTATCTTTTTATGCAGATATCATAAAGATTTACAGATATATTCACCAGCGAGTAAACTTTCAAAATTCGGCTTTTTATAACAGATAACCGACTAACATTCTTCTGAACTTTTAAACACAGAAATAATATAAATTATCAACGATTCCAGGGTAACTTCAAGCACACAAGCTCAGCGCGCCGTATCAAGAAGGAGATCCGTAACAAACGCACCAGCTTTCTAGGAATCGAAGGTCAAGATGACAGCTACCTGGATGTAGACCTCACCTTGGCTCCAAGACCTGACATCACTTCCTTCTTACAAGAAGAGACCAAAATAGAGAAGTTGCTTTACAAGAAGACCCTGTCTCATGATATGGATGCTAAGCTGAGAGAGAGTCGAGATTCGGGTGTGGATGTCGACCGAGGACCATCGGCGGAAGCTTGGTACAAGGGACATTCTTCTCCGGAGACTTCTAGTCCTCATAGCAGACAGAATAGTGAGGTGGGTTTTATTTTTTAATTAATAATTTACAAATACAAGATTTTTTATTGTGGTAGGTAGGTAAGCACAAAGATGTTACATGTTTCAAAGATTGCACATTTATTTAGTTGTTATTCTTGTTGATAATATTAGAATCGATTCTCATAAAAGCATCTGTCAATTTGAATTTTAATTCTTCTTAACGGGCGTAGTTTTTTTCTTATCAATATCGATCAAGCTGGCGTTTTGTTTTGCCGTGTGGGTGAGGTTACCGCTTGTCCAATCCTTAAATATTTAGATACCACGCAGACTAGATTTTTATATCCGACGTCTATCTAGTTGGTCAGAATTTACAATAGAATCACACCTGCCCCATTGTTTTTTGTATTAATCACCAATCCTATAACTAACAAGTTTCTTACCTGTAAACTAAAATCCCCGGCATGAACTCAATGATCCAAAACAAGATAAAGTAAACAGTAGCTGTTATCAGATTATGCACACAAAACAAAAGGATATCCCAACCGGGCCTCTGAACCTTGAACAGAGGTTTAGAGAGCTGGTCAAGGTGGCAATGAGAGCAAAGATTCTGTCGGTGATTTTACTAGATGAAATGATAATCTGATCGTCACGCCTTTTATAGTTAAAGGGGTAGGCATAAGTGTGCATAATGGCACAAGATATCATTGACAATGTACATACCCTTTTTTACAGATTTGTTATAAGCCCCATGTTAAACGGGGTGAGACCATTGCCAAATACCTACTGCACACCATTCCAACCTCCCTTAAACTATTAAGAGCTTTCTGGCAAAAAGAAAAAAAAACAATATAAAATACTTAGCCCACCCATAGTAATCCTTACTCGGCAGTTGTTCTAGAGACCCCTTAATAAATGAGAATGTGTAAATGTTTTACACTCGATCACGCTCGAATATTCAAAATGGTTTTTAGTATAAAAGTTGAACTTAACATTTGAATATTAAAGCCAGATATACAGATTTCATAAGTCCACCACTTATGACATCTGTAGACAGACTGTGGCAGTGGTTGGATCAGAAGAGCTAAATCGAGCTCAGTAGCGCGCTATTGGAGAGGCCTATGTCTAGCAGTGGACGGAAACAGGCTGATGATAATGATGATGAAACATGACATTTACACATAGACAATTTTTCCTTTACATTGCAATCGCAAAATTCTTATTATTTCAAATTCTCACTACAGAGTATTAGAAAATTTGTTTCTTATCACTTTTAACATACTTAGTCATATAGATATGTATAACTCCTCCCAGTGACTCACTTGGTTTTACTGCCTATAAAAATACCGTTTAAGATAATTTCAAACACGCAAAAGATTATCCTAATACTACACGTGTACCAAGTCTAAGGCTGCAAATCGAATACCAAACTAATTTTTTTTTATGTGAAAAGTCACCATCAGGTAATCCGTTTGCTCGTTTGCCACGAGCAAACGGATTACCTGACGGTAAGCAATCAGCGTGTGAAAACCTATGGAAACCCGCAACGACGGAGGAGTTACGAGTGCGTTGTCGACCTTTTGGGGATTAGGGATTTGGAGATTTTGGGAAAGGGGACGCATTGGGGTAGGGGAAAGATTGGGCCTCCGGTAACCTCACTCACATAACACTATGGTTATTTCAAGCCGCACTCACACACTTAAATAAAAAAAAATATGAGGTTGCTGGCCATACAAAACTGGCAAATATTTATTTTTTGTGATATTGGGCTGTTGGTCTTAACTGCCCTTTTTTGAGGGTTAAGTCATAACATAACTTGCCTTGGTTGGAGATTGAGGAGTCATTTGTGTCAGACTCTTACTGACTAAAACCACCTCGTTCCTACTCTTATTTGTGACCGGGGTGGCAGTAGATCATTGCGCTTCACCTGCACCACCACCCAGACTAGTCTCTTCTAGAATATAAGGGGGTTTATAACCTATACAAAAATATAAGTCGTGATGGGATTTTTTTCAAACGATAACTGAATTCATCTATGACGATAAAGCTGTAAATAACATTGTAAATATCTATTATCTCATCTCGTTTTTTTTCTAATAAGTAGTTGATCGTAATAAAGTGTAACTAGGAAGCATTAGATCTGATAATTTTATTATAGCTAATCATGATAGATATAGATAAAATATTTTTATGACTGCCTCCTTTGATAAAGTTGTACTTGTGTACACAAGAACTTTTGAACTTGATTCACTAGCTGGAAAAATGATTTTTTTTGTATTATTAAGAGATTAGTCTGATGTTCTATAGCATAGCTAGAATCAATTGGAAAACGACTTTAACATCACTGATTGCTTTATCAAAAATGACCCTTATGTTAACCTAACATACGTTTGAATTCCAGCCCTACACCCACGTGACAGTGACGTCAGATGAAGAGGAATCTACAAAGAAACAACAAGAGACCTTCAGCTCAAACCTGAACTCTAAGCTGAGTGAGCTGACGGAACCATCAGACAAGATTGACAACCTCGACAAAACAATACAACAACAACAGGTACTATCACCGTAATACCCACTTAACTAGGTATGCATATAATGGGATTGTCGAAGTAAAAAGGTCTTTTGAAAGGTGACAATTTATATACTTAGTTCACGTACCAAACCTACCGAAAATTGATTAATTTCGAACCTTAATTGTAGCCAATAAAGTTGTAAATAAGAAATGTAACTTTATTTGCTATGTTTGTACAAAGCAAGGGCTGTTTCTTTGTGGTTTATACACTACATGTAAGTTGTGTAGAGTATTCGAATCCACGTTTTCTTCGACCTGGTGTCATAAAGTGTTTACGTTATAAAAATATTTGTTTTAGAAGTACTAAGTACAAAGGTATGCGGTATCTAGGTAATCAGTAAGTCATTGATAAACAGTGACTAATTTATTAAATAGTTTTTTTTTTATCAGCCAAGGTCAGTAATAAGTAATTCTGAAAGTATGTTGTCAGGAAAATATTTGTCGTTTGTACTTTAGAACTCAGTAGGGTTAGAAGATTATTATTATATTGAATATTGAGATAGTTTTTTCTACTTGTCCAGTATTGAAACGAAATATCACCTTTTCAAAAAACTTTCTTTATTTCTGGTTTATTTTGATTTGGCACTACATTACATTGATATCATTTGCACCATAAGCTGGGTCTGTTATGAAAAAAAAATAATAAAAAAAAATCAAATTTTTATTACAATATCTTTTCATAGTGGACTCTTAGGCTAGTTTGTATGCTAAAAATGGTGATGGTTGGTTTTTGGAATGTTTAATATTCACAATTCAATCATTTATTTAATCACTAAAATGTTCAATCATTGAATAATTTAGTGTCAAATCAAATGTAACGCTATTTTTGTATCTTTCTTCTTCATTTCATCTTTATGAAATGCTATTTAGAAGACATCTATTAGATAATTATTTTCCATATGTTGTTTCCTATTTTTCCTATGTTAGTGAGTAGAATGTACATGCCAAAAAACTAGCTTTAAAAACAACCTTATTTTGAATTCCATACGGTTGATTTTCTAGCAGTTTTTTCGAGTGTATTTCATCGCACTGTACAAATTGTAGATCTCTCGAACTTTATATTTTATAAGCTATATTTTGTATGGGAATATTTTTGGTTTACTCGAATTCTCCGCTTTGGTGATTAGTTAATTAGGCGGTTAATTTACTTCAGCCACTTTCGCTTTTAATAATTGATTAATTATGGTGAATATTATAATTCCATTTTGTATCAATCAAAGAACGTATAATTATATTAATTTAAAAAACAGTAAACTATAATGTTTACCTGATTTCTATATTTGTTTTCAAAAGCAGAAGTGGTTACTATCCTTCCTATTTCTTTGTAATAGGTCTTTACCTATGAAATTGCCGTTTTGCAGTACTGGCCATTTCAAATCAAAATAGTTTTTGTTAGGCTAAGGCTAATTAATTTTGTTTTAAAAACATGGGATTCTTTTTCCAAAAGTAGTCATTTGTATATTGATTAGTGTTACATTTTCATCGCACATCAAATCAAAAAAATCGTTTAAATTTTTTAATGCAAAACGGCAATTTCGTAGGTAAACACCTATTATATTAATGCTAAGTTTACGAAATATCTCTTAAGGGGGCTAGCACTGTACCTATATGCTTTGCAAGCACTAGAAATAAGTTAATTATATTATTATATATTATGTGATTAATTTACCGTTGTTTTGAATACCACGTAAAACATAAATTAGTAGAAATGGTAGGCACAACTTATTGTATAAGTATTAAAGTTTGGTAAAAACTTAGAGTAAATTTTGAGGCTATGTCGTAGGTACAAATATTTAAATTTAAAGAAGTTAATTTAATATTTAGCTGTTAAGAAATTGTAAATTTCATTATTTCTATAAATAATGTGGTATTTAAAACATTAAATAATGCTGCCATTAACACAAAAAATGCTTTTTAACGCTTTTTCTTAAATTTATAAAAGTAAATTGAGATATTAATATGAAAACGCCTAAATTAGTCACAAAAGTAGTTCTTGTTTATGTATCTTTTATTTTTAAATAAATATTATTTATTTTAAATTATGTTTTGCCTTTTATTTTTACACTGCAATAAACGTAGGTACTTGTAATGCACTAGCATGTTGCACCGAACTAGTCTAGTAGTGTAGTATTGATGATTTTTTTATTTGCTAGTTTTTCTAGAATATTTTTGCATGTTTTAGTGGATAATAGAAATTTATTATTTAAAACATGCATCTGTTCTTTTGTAATTTGTTAAAATGTAGTTTATGGCTTTAATTTTACGAGTGTATTTTCAATAAAATACATTCAGTGTTTATGTTGCTAAAGACATGATTAAAATCCAACATTGTAACCATAATATTTAAAGAGAATGTTATACTGTCACTTCATTAAACCTTTTTTTCGATAGAACTTAAAATCATACATTGTAAAACACTTAACAAATCATGGGTATAATTAAGATATCAATAATATAAACACGAAACAATTCCATATTATATTCTCATATACAACAAAAACCTGTTCCAGCTTAACTAATCAGCTTAAAATAACATTAAATATTATGGTTCGCATCTGGCCGCCATTTTGTGTTGTAAATAACATAACAAAGTGTGGCGTGACGTCACTTTACAGGATTGTTCCACTAACGAGGACTGGCCCGACGGGGCTTATGACGATGCAAACACCAAGGTGAATGACATTTTGACACTTACATTACCTACATCACTTGAGGAAATTTCGGTAGCTTCTTCATTACAACGGATCAGTGAGACTTATGTGTGTGACATAAGGGTCAAATTAGCCCGTTAGACGTTGTAATAACGTCTACATATATTCACAAAAATTATTAACATTTTTTTTCATTCTTTTTCCATGTATTCGTATTGTCTTCCTTTTTTAAACCGAAATTTCCTTGAAAACGTTTACAACTTTCCACCGAGTGTGTGTAAATTAATATCTGTGTTTAATCCACGCTGGCTTGAAGCATTGCACTTCATATAACTTGTAACTAAAATTAAAATAAACGTAACTAATTTATGAAATAAGTTAATTTTAAAGATTTAACAATACCTAATTTGTAAGGTCCTATACTTTAATACTAACTTACTTGTAAAATATCATTTAAAAATGAGAATCAAAAAACCTAAGTTAACAATACATACATTTTAAGTTAATGATACCTAACTTAACAAATAATTTTTATATACCATTGTACATTTTCCTTAACAAACCCTTATATGAGTTATGGGACCTTACCAACAACTACTTATACCACAACCACTAAAACTCATTTTATCAAAAACTAGGAGGTCCTTCGCTTCGAAAGAGAACTGCTGCAGCTCGAACAAGAAGAACTGCGCCGTCAAAGAGAGAACTTACTTCGAGATCAGACCAGAATCATCCAGAAATCAGTCCAAGATATATCTTCAATCCCCACCTCCCCTGAGAAACCCCCTCTTAATAGGACACCAGCGAACCCCCACTACCGTCATTCCATGCCAAATCTTCTCCTAAATGAGAACATTCCATCAATTCCACCTGCAGTACCAGAAAGGCAGATGGATGAAAGAATGGTGGATGAGAAACGTAAGCCATTCGTGTCAGAGGAACATATGCAAAGGCATTTTGGTGTTGAGGAGAGTCGGAGAGTCCTATATGAGAGAAAAGAGGTCAGAGGACAGCCTATGAGAGTGCCACAGCCTGTGTTACCTCCCAAACCGAAGAGTCGGGAATCCATTGAGAGGGAGATTACTATGAGGTTAGTTCTGGTGATTATTTATTAACGTGTCTGCAATAAGGGCATTCATTTTATTATACGTACTTAGCAGTTAAGTGGTGACCAGGAATTTCAAGCGCTCGTTTCTCATGCACGAGGATGCAAGTCCGAAACCTAGCATGTACCAATGTGACTTTTTCTGAGTTATATGTATTTTCTACGATTATTTAAACACCACTGACATACGTTGAAGGCAAAAACAGTGAGGAAACTAGGACTTAAAATTTCCGATTATAACTTTGAAATTGCCAACCCTCCTTGAGCAAGTGTAGTGATTAATGATCAAACTTTTCCTTGTGGAAAGATGCCTTTGATCAGCAGTTAGCACTTATAGGCTGATGATGATGATGACGATGACTTAGTAGCAGTAGTACCAAGCCTATTTACTCTATCAACCCATTAGGATCTTGTCTGGTATAGGATGTATTTACAAATACAAAATTGAAGCATTACCAACCTTTTTTAAATCAATGTAATTGTTATTCGGTTTAGAAATCAAACCAGCAAAACGTTCCGCAACAACACTGTCAACAGTGTCATTAATTCCTTGTTCTTTATTAATTTTATTTGCTGTATATTTGCAGAAGCAGTCGCGTGCCCTCAGCAGTAGAGTACGCCAACGTACAGCTGCGACAGAAGCCTGTGCCCAACGGCAATGCTGCCAACTACCATCCCATGACCAGGCATACGTTACAGGTACTACTTTGATTACCATTATCTTTATGGTTCTCCAGGTCAGCTTTAAATTTCCTAGCTGATGGATCATCCGACGTTTTTATCTAATACTAGCAGGCATTTTTTTTATGGTACGCCACTTGTGAAAAACTAGTAGACTGATTACTTGATAGTCAGCAATCGGCTCCGTCCAAACATCCGCAACGTCCGGGATAGTTGCAAGTGCGTTACCCGTATTATAGGTATATGGAGAGGAACAATGACAATATAACCACATTCTCTTTGGAGAGTGGTTATATTCTCTTTGGAGAGGAAGGATTGAGAATCCATTTCCTATAATCCAAAAATTCAATTGGGGATTGGAGTTGTTTGTGGGTAACGCCGCGCTGGTTGCTTGCCATTAACTGATAAGTGTGCTCGTTTACCCATCTAACACATTAAATAAAACAATGTTCAATTACTGACAGTGGCACTACTTTCGAATTCGAATAAGTTTTTCTTTTAAAAACGTTGCCTCGCACTAGTATTTTCTCCTGTTTCGTGGGTGCATTTACAAACATACAAACACACACATACACATCACACCTAGACCCCGAACAACAATTTATGGATCACACAGCGCACATGTTCCGTGCGGGAATCGACAAGTTACGCGGTAGCCAGCTGCCCAGCATCCGCGCCAACCGTGCAGCCAAATTTAACACTTGGTCTTTTTACTTGCAGGCTCTGAGTGCGGCGCCAACACCAAAGCTGATCTCCAACACAGACTGGATGCAGGCACGGAATAGAAAGCCGGCCAACTACAACTACAACCAGCACTGGCTCATACAGGTACTGATATTGATGAACCAGCCTGGTTACACCTTCAGACGAGGTTGCGGGGCAAGCGCCGTAAGGTACCGTGACCTCGGCCTGCAGCAGGTGAAGGAACGGGGGAATTTTTAGTCAGTAAGAGTCTCACACTTTCGCCTCACACCCTGGGAAAAGTAAAAAGCCTTTAGCTACACTTAACCTAATGAAAAACTTTAAAATGCCGCTTTCTCCTATCTCTGAGCTAAGTAAAAACTGACTGGTAAAAAATAACTAGTAACTAATGATACTAATGACTAGTAAAAAACAGGAAGACATCAAATCTACTGCACAATTTTAAGTGCATAAAGTTATAAACAAATACTAACAAAGGGACTTCATTCGAATTGCCGACCAAAATCAATTACTGTTTACAATCAAAATTTATTGAAATTAACAGCTTACTCACGTGAAATAATTGAGAAAAGCTCTACTGACTGAGACTGAGTCGGCTGAGGTGCTCATGAACTTGGAACTAAAAGAGGTTTTCTCTCTTTTTTATTTTCAATAAATAGAGTATGTCAAACCTAAGTAACTATACAAAAAATGCATTTAATCTTCTATATTTCTTTTAATCACTATATTCAAGTCTTCATCCTTGTAATTAAACAAAAAAACTTATCACGTACAATTCTTATTTCCAGGAGGCAGAACAGCGCCGCCTAGACGAGCAGCGCAGCAAGGCGCGTGCGCAGCGCCACTCGTACCACCACGAGGCGCCCCCCACCGTACTGGCCGCCCCCCCTCCCGTGGTGCCCCCTACCATGCCCCCCACTGCCGCTGCACCTGCGCCTGCGCCACTATATGCCATGCATGCGCTTAGTACCAGGTAAAGTATTTATTGATTTTGTTAAGATAGCAATCAAATTACTATGAAATCATTAATGAAAGAAATATTTTTATCGTCATTACAATCCAAAACGATTACTAAACAGTGTTCTAGTTGTAATTAGAATTTACTATTATCATTAACATATGTACTGTATGCATAGAAATAAAATGACCTACACAATTCAAACATTTTTTTTTTTTGTGTATTAGGTCGGCAAACGAGCAGATGGATTACCTGATGGTAAGCAATCAGCGCCGCCCATGGACACCCGCAACGGATGAGTTACGAGTGCGTTGCCGACCTTTTAGAGATTAGGGATTTGGAGATTTAGGAACTGGGGAGGGATTGGAAAGGGGAAGGATTGGGCCTCCGGTAACCTCACTCACACGGCGAAACACAACACTGTGGTTATTTCACGCCAGTTTTCTGTGAGGACAAACATGAAATTAAACTTGTAAAAAATTCCAGCCAGCAGCAGTTGTCGGATGCAAAGCGGCCGGTACGGACGGAGCCGCGGGACGACAAACTGCTCAGCGTTAGTGGGCGGCGCAAGTGTTCGCACTGCGGAGAAGAACTCGGTATGTGATTTTCATACAATATTTTGTTTCTATCCTTCATCAACTACTCAGTTATTGCAATCTTACTGTCGTTTTCGCAACCTTTGAATTAATTGGTTTAGTAGTTAAAGGTGAGACTACCAAACAAATGTCTATAATAAAAGTATAGATATAATGGGGCATGGAGACGTAAATAGGTTTACTGCCAAAAAAAATTTTAATCATAAATATAAACTAGTGCCTTACTGACTAACCTACTTACCGTTGATGGTAAGGCGCACTAGTTTATTAAGGGCTTATTTACTTTATCCTAGAAAAAATATAAATCATAACTGGACAGGAAGACCGATGCAGGCAAGCTTTTTGTATATATACTCGTAAAACTTATAAATTAGTAAGACTGCACGGTTGGTTCAGTGGCTGGGTAACGTTCCGCGGGTTCGATCCGACGCGGGTTAAAAAGTGATGCATGATAATTTTTCTTAAGTTTCTTTAATGTAAAAATGAGTCGTTATGGTAATGTCCAGTTTGTTGGGTGCAGGTCGTGGCGCGGCGATGATAATAGAGTCCCTGTCGCTGTGCTACCACGTGTGGTGCTTCACGTGCGCGGTGTGCGGGGCGCGGCTGGGGGACGGCCGCGCCGGCGCCGACGTGCGCGTGCGCAGTCGCAGGCTGCACTGCCAGCACTGCTACTCCTCCGACGACGGACGCAAGTACTCCGCCGTCTAGACAACTACCACCAAGCAATAAACACTAGCCAAATGCAGCGTACCGTAATGTAAAACGGAGTGAATAGATACACAAAAGTGGTCGGGGTGAAACGTGTAGCAGAGCCAAGCTTCGGCGCGATAGATCGCCCCGACCGGAGTGATATCACAGCCTCACAGAAAACCAACTTAAAGCAACCACAGCGTTGACTTTCACCGTGTGAGTGAGGTTACCGGAGGCCCAATCCAATACCTATCCGAAACCTTTATCCCTAAAAGACCGGCAATGCACTCGCAAGATGCGATCGCATCTCCTTTGGTGTTGATTGTTTACCATCAGGTCTACTCAATTGCCGAAATATTGGTGAATTTCTCATCTCCCGCGTCTATTTACCCTTCGAATTCTATTCACCCCGTTTCACCGTACTCTGTGGTATTGACATTGACTTACGTCAATTTTGAGATATGTTAATGTCAATAGTATACGTTTATGTTTGGCTATAGAGTGTGCGTTTGGGTACTTGGAACTGTTCTACAATAAAATCTCTAAATGTGTGATGGACTTGAATCTATAGATTTTATTACGTATTCGGTTTTATAATGATCAAAAGTACATAACTCGGGCTGGTCCAAAGACTATAAGTGAAGTTAAATCACCTAGTTATACTAAATGTTTGTTGAAAACCCTGAACTTATTTTTTATACTGTTATTCACTATTTGTTTCATTAAATAATCATGTACACATTTGTAGAGCCTTCGTTTTAATAATGTCGTGTTTAATGGTTCATTTTCATAGAAAGTAATTTGATATTAAATTAGTTTTGAATGTGCCTGAATTACTAATGTTACATAAGAAATGGCCAAATAACTCTATGTTAGAACGGGAGACTACTAGACAGTCTTTCTATGCTTAGAGGTAAAAATGTAAATACCAACAAGTGCGAAGCCTTATTGACATAGCGCGATAGTCTCCTACCACGCTGTCTGTCAGTATGTGTATGCGCCATCTCCAAAACGTCTAAGCGACTCAGCTAAGTTCTGAGTCGGCTACTGCACGCTTTTGATATACTCTCGACACTACAGTAATCATGATTTGTCGCATTATTTCGGACTATTTTGTGCCATGTCATATTTGTCTTGTATTCACAACAAGTACATAACGGAAACAATATATTTAAGTATACCATTGAATTTAATATTTTTTTTACTAATAAAAGATTAATGTTTTTTTTTGTGTAATGAATGAAAATAAACAACATTTGTAATATTTTGTAAATAGTTTTTAATTTATATCTTTGTATGTTTTAAAGGTTAGCTTTAATAGTTATTATTTTAGTTTAAAAATTAAAACATAATCCATCCAAAAATGTGTATGTTTATTAAAATATATTATCGTTGTGGTTGAATGCAAAATGGCTTAAATACTGAAACAACTTACTAACACAGATCTCATTTGATTCTCATACTATCTCCATTAAAAATTATTCTTTAAATCTTCGTTATTTTCTATTTTCTTTAAGAGAATTTAAGCTATTTTGTGATCCCTATGTTATAAAAGTGTTTGCATCACTTAATCTGTCTTCAAGTAAATCTGTAGCGGTTCATTAACACGGTTGCACCTACTTGTAATTATATTAACTATAATATTGATACATATGTACATTCTCTATGTGTAAGCTGCAAATTGTATAACATTAAATATTTGAACTATACATACCGTTTTGTTTTTATTTATTGATATTTTTTAGACATTGAAGGTCAAACTTGTTTTTTCAACTAAGTACAGGTACTTTTGAAGATTCAAACCGTTCGCTTTGATCCACTCTGAGGTATTCGCCTGTGTCGTGACGGGTGCGTCAACAAATATAGAAGTTCACATACACATCACACTCAGACCCTTCATAACAAATTGTGGGTCACGCCAAGAAATGGCTCGTTAATAGTATAAAATGGAATCAAACGAGTGACATGTAGCGCAGTAGCCGGTTAATCAACTAGACAACATTGATGTCGGTCCAAGTATAGTTTAATTAACTAAAAGAGTAGGTACTTAAATTGTTATAAACACAAGTCCCGTTGCCAATTTTAGTATCGATAATCGTTGTTGCTTTAGAAACGGAACAAGTGTACGGGAATTTATTTATTGTCCACGTGACTTTCAGAAATATCCTTAATTTATTTCTAATTAGTACTAAATCGGCTGGCGTTTGATCTCTATATGGCCTAGCGGTAAGCGATGATGCAGCCTAAAATGGAGCACGCCTACTTATAAGTATACTAAGTAACTAACTAATAAGAATACTACTCATAATCTACTCACTCGAGCCTTGAAGATAACAAGAATTCATTCAGGGAACATACCTAGTCTAGCCATAAATACTGTAACAAATAAAAAAAATATTTTTTCTATTGCAAATAACATTTATTACTTTTACAGTAGGTATGTAAGTTTAATACATAAATATAAAACAATTTAAAACATAAAAAGCTTATTCGAAGTGGTCTCCATTGGCTGCAATACAGTCCTTTAAACGTTGAGGCCAGTTATCAATAGAAGCACGCACTCTTTCCAAGGGAAAATTCTTCACTGCCAATCGTATGGATTGTTTTAGGGAGTCCAAATTATGGAGAGTTTTAAAAATTGCATTTGGCTCCATACCCACTTTGTGTAATGCAGCAATCACAGCGATTCGATTCTCTTTATCACGCCACTCCATTTTAATATCGCAAAATATTGAACAATTTATTGGTTCCAAAATAAGAAAACACAATGAAAAATTATATAAAAATGACAGATTCCAAATTCAAATGTAATATTTTGTTTATTTTTAATTGTAACAGTTTTTATGGCCAGACTATGTAGACTCTGGCTATGAATTCCACTCCGAAGCGGTTCTGAGGAAAAACTGGAGAGGAATCGCTAAGTACGTGTGGGTGGGATATTATACTGAAGACTTAACAAACAACCACAAAGCATTTATCGGCCCAAGGCTGATCTCTGGGGTAGAAGTCTTTGAAATGAGTAAAAAACCAATCGATAAATTGTGAACAAAAATAGACTCAATAGAAAACAAACTAATTCTCCCCTGTACACTAATTCTTTAAAATTATTGATGAATAGATGTTCAACTTAATTATAAAAGGATAGGGTTGAAAATGTACCAATCGATTTTTTACAAACAAGTCGTCTCGAGAATTCCCATGGTTTAATGGACCCCTGCTTTGTAAATTCAATATTTCTCAAGTAGTCTAATAAATTTTAACGAGGATAATCTCTGTATAATTTAGTACTCCTCTTATATTTGTCAGTCCTTCCAAATTATACAAATACAGGTTTAAAATAAACATTGAAAATATTAATGTCTGCCTATCCTTTCAGATACAAAAGGTGTGAACTTATATTATGTAAATATAAATACCTGCATAATTTTTAAATTTCAATAATACTGTAGAGAATGAATGATTGGGAAGAAAAAATAAAACGTTTATTAACTAAATCAAACCTGTTTCATCTCCCCTTTTAAATCAGTCGAGTCGATATTTAATTTAGTTCCATACTGCACAGCTTTTATCAAAAAGCCTGATTATTCCCAGACTGCAAGATTATTATCATTGAATTTGCCAAAATGGTTGATAATGACCATGAAAACTTGTAATACATTCTTTTATGTTTGAATACAAAAGCACCCCTCAAATTCGCTATAGGTACATCTGTCGTCAGATCCATTTGATTGAAAGGTCTATAGTACCAGGTTACATTTAATTTTAATTTCAATATGATATTCCTAGTTAGTAAATTACAAAACATATCTTTTGTAACCAAAATTGTACTTTGCTTTTTCCCTAGTAAAATTGTTGTAGTATGTCCGTTTTCTATGATGATAATGTGAATTAAAATTATCCTTTGTTATTTGAAATTACTTTAATTCACTAGCAGTTTCTGCTAGTTGTAAAATAGTGTTAAATCTGGAATCTCTAACTGCTTTCATACTTAATGCACGGTTATTAGTCGGTATATGGGATAGTCCAGTAAAATTATGCTAAAATAGATCTATCTGCCTTTGTCATAATAATGAAATTCTGAAAAGTTGATATCAAGCTTCAAATAAATAAATAAATAAATGAGTGAGGTAACCCGGTGACCCCTTCCTTCCCTCAACAACAAACCAAATCTCCAATCTTTGTAAGGCTGGCAAGAAAAGTAAGATGTCCATGGATGGCACCGATTGCTTACCTTCAATGTGGATCTTTTGAGCGCTGGACATTCAATGGAGGCTAGCTGTATCATGTACAGTTATAATGAGGATATCTATCTGTAGTAAAAGTAGGAACAGATAAGAATACCTAGATCCCATAGAAAATTAGGTAAATTCCCCAATAGTAGGTAAGGATGCTTACATATACTCGTACACAAATTACGTTCAAAATTTTCACAACAACATCGATTGATTGACGTCTCTAATTGCTCCTGTGCGAATGTGAATATCAATTATCCATTAAGTAGGCTTATTTCCTAAAACTCTTAATAATGGCGTAACGATACGCAAATTGGGGTCCGTGGCGAATCGGGCTTTGTAATACCTCTTCATACAAGATTTTACCTGTTAATGATGACTCAAATAATTGATGTAGGTTGCTTCTTTGTATTTTTAAAACTTAGACCCTTTTTGTTTTTATATAGTAATTGGTAAGGATGATTTTATAATCACGTTCTCGTTGAACTCGTTTAAACTTAGAACAACTAAATGATAACAACTAGATGATCTATAGAATCTACATTTTTTTACGTGAAAGGTCGGCAAACGAACAGACTTATTACCTGATGGTGAGCAATCAGCGACGCCCATGGACACCCGCAACAACAGAGGAGTTGCCTACCTTTTGGAGATAAGGGATTTGGAGATTAAGTGATTGGGGAGGAATTGGGGGAGGGGAAGTTGTGGACCTCCAGTAACCTCACTCAACAGAACCACAAAGCTGTGGTTGTTTCACGCTGGTTTTCTGTGAGACCCCACCGTCTGGAGCAAGTGTGTCTATCTGCGATATGTCATTTATGGTATCTGCATGTGCAGGAATCGAACCCTATACCCAGTAGGTAACTGCGGCATCGCACATCATTATCATAGTCAGCCTATAGGTACTTACTGCTGCGCAAACTTATTAATAGAAATTTAGTGAATTACTGAAAATACTTTTACAGAAGTAATTGGCTGACCTTCCTCCACATAAAAAATTAGCTGCGAGCTTTACGACACAGACAAAACACGCCATATCGAATCTTTTCTCATAAAACTACACAGCAGACCTATACTTTCAATAAGTAGCCATATCTTCAATCTCCATTGTGATTACCTAACAATCACATGGCACGTGTACTTTGACCTTACTTCATGGACCACCATGGGACCAGTCCAGTGATGTGTTCACAGACGTCAACACAATACTCCATGGTGCTTTGTGTATAACCAGTGTGGCGGAAATCCGGACCGGTAACGAATTGCCACGGTATAGGTAATCGAATTGGTCCGTAATCGGTTCCATGGAATTCTATGAATCGGTGTTACATACTAGTTCATTTCTGCGGAGCTTGCTGTTGTTTTGTTTTTGTTATTTGTTTGGTGCACAACAAATGGCTATGACGTCAAGTGGTGTAATGGTTACAACTGTTGCTAGTTTTTTTTTTGTGAGGGGAAAAACATCAAATGACTTTTCCCGCCCAGGGCCGGGCAGGAGGGAGTGTCAGACTCTTACTGACTAAAAACCCCCCTGTTTCTTCTCCTGCTCTGTGCCGAGGTCGCGGTACCTCACAACTGTTGCTAGTTGGGGTTATTATTTCGATGCAGAAGAACAGAATAACTATTTGTATGTACAAAGCATTTACAGATGAATATTCTGTATTGGTGTCTATTAAATCGTCTTTCTAGTTAAGAGAAGTATAAGATTTCTTATATCAGATCAATCCAAATGAAATTAAACTCTAAGCATCGAAATTACGGTCTACAACAAAGTGGGTAAAAGAGGACACCGGTGACCACTTAGGTTGAAATGGGATAAACCGACTGTCAGACATGGGTAAGAAAAAAAAGTTAAGGTTTGAATGGTAGAGAATGCTCATGGCTTTGTGAATATAGCGTTTTAAATAAACATTGTTATTATTTAACAAACTTCAAAATAAAAGAAATAGGCTGCGAATTTGACATACATATGTTAGTAGTTAGTATAGTAGTATGTTTGTTCGTGATTTACTCGCAATCAGCTGAACTGCTTTGGATGTGGTTTTCAGAGTATACCCACATATTTTTAAACTTTTTATCAGTTTTTAGTATATCGGTGATAGTTCGGCAAACATGCTAAGAGATCACCTAATGGTTGGCCCATGGCCAACATCGTTAGGTAGGCAGATATTTGAATTTAAGGATTGGTGAAATTTGAATGCGGGGAGGAATAGGATTAAGTATCCTTTAACCTCGTTCCCTGGCCACCTCTGGCCACCGTAAGCTGGGGCTTACGGGTGGCGAGCAAGGGTAGCTCGCTTCCCAACCAGAACCAAACAAAGAGCCCATCACCACTGAGCCCAACAAACAGGGCCGATGTTTTCACAAAGAGTTGTTACCTGCGAGAATCGAAACTGCGACACGTTGCGCGGCAGCCAGTTGCCCAGCCACCGCGCTAAACTTGCTATCAAAACATTTAAATGTACCTGAACA